GCGACATGGGTGCACTTACCTACATGCAGGCAATACACGCATACACATAAAATAAAAATAATAAATAAAATTTAAAAAAAAAGAAATAGGGTTCAAGTTCCTTGGGGCCCCCAGCCACTACTGAGTCTGACTGAGCACCAACGGGCGAGTTGACATTTGACTGACGTGCTGACTTTCTGCACTAGTGACTTGGCCCAACTTGTGTTTTCACATAGTAAGTTAGTTAAGGTCTGAGTTACAGTGCCCTCTTCAGAGTCCAATACTCTGCAAATTGTCAATCTCCGAAAGTATGGAGGAAAAGGCCTATTGTTTTCCTTTTTGAGACAAGGTCTCATGTACCTACCCAGGCTGTCTTCTAACTTGCTAAGTAGCCAAGGATGACTTTGAACGTGTTATCCTCTTGCTTCTATCTACCAAGTGCTAGAAGTATAAGTGTGTACCACCACACCTATTTTTTGTAGTATTAGGGATGGAATCCAGGGCTTCATGCATGCTAGGCAAGCATGCTACCAACTGAGCCACATCCCCAACACCAATTTTTCATCTTTGATTGGGAATTGAATTCATCTTTTAAGATAGAGAGGAATAAGATACTTCGTGCTTTTTGGTTTTTTTTTTTTTTTTAAGGGAGAAAGGGTTTGTTTTGGCTCACAGTTCAGAGGTATAGAGTCCATCATGGTGGGGAAGATAGAGCAACAGGGTTTCCCTATAGCCCCAGCTGTCCTGGAACTCACTATGCAGACCAGGCTGGCCTTGAATTCACAGAGATCCACCTGCCTCTGCCTCCCAAGTGCTGGGATCAAAGCACCACCACACCTGGTTCATACACACAATTTCAGTCAGACTTCTCAACTTTTCTCACTGTTTTCAATGAGAATAACATACTGCTTTTAGCATGTTGATATGTTAGTCAAGCACATCCATATTCATTCACTATCTTGGGTGAAGGGCAAAGTGGGATCCTGAGGAATAAGGTCACATACCCAGGTCACAAGTGGAACACAAGGTTCAGTGAGCTGGTTTACATTATAAATAGTAACTTTTTGGTTAGAAGTTTAAGTAAAAGTCTTTAGTCCAGATTATGCCCATATTGCATAAGTCATTCCTACATTAATGTATCTTCCAAGCCACACTTTCAAACCTACTTATTATACTAGACATAATAACATAAAAGCCTGGAGGATTGTCTGTGCATACCATTTACCATCCCATACCTCTTCTTCCAGGTAAAGCTTTAGGGAAAACAGCCATGGTCCCTGTTCCCTATGAGCAGATGAATCAAGACCAGGCAGCTGTGATGGTGCAGGGGCTTCCGGAAGGCCTGACTTTTCAGCACCCTGACAGTTATGATCTTCCAGTCCTAAAGTGGATTCTGCAGAACAAAGCCCGGATTTCATTTGTCATAAACAGGTGAGTTGCTCCTTGTCCTCCTAATGGTTCATTTAAGATATGCTGGCCTGAGCTAGGCATGGCAGCAGACATCTGCAGTCCCAGTCTTCCAGAAACTGAAACAGGAGGATGGCTGAAAGTTGGAGGCCAGCCTGGGCGACATAGTGAGTTTAATGGCAGCATGGTATATATACTGAATTCCTGCCTCAAAAACAAATTATTGGGGCTGGAGAGATGGCTCAGTGGTTAAAAGTACTTGTTGCTCTTGCAGAGGCAGGGTTTGGTTCCCAGTGCCCACATGGCAGATCACAACCATCTGTAACTCCAGCTCCAATGCCCTCTTGTGGCCTTCAAGGGCACTGCATGCACGTGGTGTACTTACATACCTGTAGGCAAATACTCATACACATAGAACAAAAATTTCAATGTAAAAAAATAATAAAAATTTAAAATCATTATGGACCCGTGGCACAGTTGAGTCATGAAGCACTCACCTGGCATACACAAAGCCCTGGGCTCCGTGCCCAGCACTGCAGCTGAATGAAGCTTCTTGTTCGCTGTGTGCCTGCTCTGCTGTGTCCGTGTTGGGTAATGCTCTTGGTTTTCTTGCAGACCTTTCCTAGGTGCAGACAGCCAGCTGGGTAAGTGACGAGTTCTGACCCTGTGGCCACCAGAACTACCCAACTCATTCCGCTTCTTATAATGAAGATTCATGTTTTTCACATTGAGGAGGCAGCCAGGCCTGGGGGGCTGGCTTGGCAGTGGACCTCTTACCTAGAATCCTCCAGTGAGGGGCTGGGGGTGTGGTTAGGTGCTAGAGCACCTGTCTAGAATCCCCCAGTGAGGGGCATGCATGAGATCCTGGGTACCCTGCTCAGCACTGCAAAGGGAAAAACAGGAAAAACATAGTAGAGCACCTCAGGACTAGGTGGATTTCTATAAAGGACTTGCAGCTTTAAGAGAGACACCAGCCAGAGACCTAAGACCCAGCTTATTTCAGGGAGCTTCTTCAGTGAGAGCACTCCTCCTTGTTCACAGGAGTATGGGGGTTCTGGGAGGCACTGGCTGGTCTGTGAGTACCAGCCATGTATGTGCTAGGCGTGGCTGGGTTTGGGAGGGGTCTAGGATGTGTTCCTTCATCTCTGAGACTCAGATCTAGGAGAAGGAATGACTGTTTGGCAGAAAGCCATGGGACTGATGGTCTTAGGATATGAGTCATTGGCAAGCCTGGGAAGGGACAAGCATGGCTTCATTAAAGAGCTCCAAGGGGACATAGCTGTCAGGTAGGGACTCGAGGGGTGTTGTGGCCCATGATAATAATCAAACTAGTGCTGAAGCAGGGAGGCTGAGGCAGGAGGGTCAGGAGTTAAGGCCACCCTGGGCTAGGTAGTAAATTCAAGATTAGCTTGTTCTACATACAAGAGCCTATCTCAAAGTTAAAAAATTTTCAAAGATAATAAGGGGGCTGGAGAGATGGCTCAGTAGTTAAGAACCCTGGCTGCTCTTGCAGAGGACCCGGGTTCATTTCCCAGCACCCACATGGCAGCTACGAACCATCCTTAACTCCAGTTTCAGGGGAATCTGAAGCCCTCTTCTGACCTCCGTGGCATTGCATGACATGGGTGCACTCACATACATGCAGGCAATACATTCATACACATAAAATAAAAATAATAATAATAAAAGAAAGCTAATAAGCAAGGTCCCATTATGTTGGTTCCCTGGAGAGTAAAAAGCTGTGTGTCAGTGTGCACACGGCCATATGGGAGCCCAGATATCCTCTACCCCTCAGTTAATGACAAGGGGCCTCCATGCCAAATATACCTCCCAGAGGCATAATTCCACCTGTGTTTACTTCATTTTTGTTCTGTTTTGTTTTTTTGAGACAAGGTTTTCCTATAGCCCCAGCTGGCCTGAACTCACTATAGAGACCATACTGGCCTCAATCTCACAGAACTCTGTCTGCCTCTGCCTCCTGAGTGCTGGGATCAAAGGTGTATGCCACTGCCCCCAACCAACTCCTATTTTTTTAATTTTTTATTTTTGGAATGTAGTTGGAACCCTGGGCTCCTAGTGGTTCACAAAAAAGGATGTTGGCTGGGCATGGTGGTACAGGCCTTTGATCCCAGCAGTAGGGAGGCAGAAGCAGGTGGATATCTGTAAGATCGAGGCCAGCATGATCTACATAGTGAGTTCCAGACCAACTGGGGCTACAGGGAGATCCAGTCTCAAAAAGACCAAAAAAAAAAAAAATGTCAAGGTGACAGTCAGTGTGGTGAGAACTGCTTTGTTCCACACACACTGCTGGGTAAGCCGTGTGATCTTTTTTTTCCCTTCTTCTTTGATTTATTTATTTTTATGGGGCTTTCGGCTACTCTAACATTCCCCCCTCTGAAGAGTAACCCTAAAATCTTTTAAGGATTGATAAAAGCTCTCAAATACTTTTGACATTTTTGGCCTTTGGAACAGAGTATGTTGCTAAGAGGCCCAAGGACATTTTGACTTTTAGCCAAGAAATTGGTTACTTTTCTTTGGGGTCTTTTTACCCTAACTACCTAGCCAATTCCTACCTCCTATTCTTATCACACCATCCTTTGAAAAGGTTGCCCAGCTTGCAGATAGGGAATTGGGATGCAGACGGCTCTGGCTTCTTCCATGCTGAACAGGGACGCAGGGTGAGGCAATTGGAGTACCCCTTCAGTGGGTCTATCTAAAAGACTCCCAAATTGCATAACTCTTATCTCTAGGGAGAAAAGAAAGTCCTTGTATCAAGACTAGGAGATATGAAGGAGAAGTAAGGGCAAGAGTAATTAGCATTATAAGTTCTAGACAGGGAACTAGAAAAAAGTCAGAACAAAGCCATGTAATCTTATCCAGGTCTAATGAGCCACAGTTGTTTGTGGGGCCTTTGTGAAGTCCTGTGGTCCTCTAGCTCACGTTAAGGGAGGCAGTGGTAGCTGGGCATGGTGGAGCATGTCTATGATCCCAGCATTCAGGAGGCAGAGGTATAAATAGTTTCAGGCCAACTGGGGCTACAAGGAGACCCTGACTCAAAAAACAAGCTGGGTGTGGTGGTGCACGCCTTTAATCCCAGCACTCTGGAGGCAGAGGCAGGAGACTCTCTGAGATCAAGGCCAGCCTGGTCTACATAGTGAGTTCCAGGCCAGCTGGGGCTACAGGGAGACCCTGCCCCCCCCCAAAAACACGAACAAACAAAAACAAAAAAAGACCAAACAAAAAAGGCAGTGGCTGGCACACACCTGTCATCCCAGTACTCCAGAGGTTGAAGCAGGAAGTTTGAGAATTCGAGACCAGCCTGGGCTGCATAGCAAGACCTTGTCTCAAAAAATCCCCAAAGAGAAAGAAATCAGCCACCACCACTGACAACAAAAATCAGATGTTTGAATGGGCTATATCGCAGGTGACCATGTGACTGTCATCAAAAAATGATTTGTATCTTTTTACCGAAAAGTGTCGTAGCAGTTAACATTTGTACCTGTAGTGACAGACACTGTTCTGTTGTTTCTCAGTCTCTTTGGGCCACTATCACCAGGATGTCCAGATGTTCAGATGACAGGACCAGCCAGTTGTGGCCTTTGTACCTTCTGTATGCTGTACATACTCCCTGGCACACTAATAACACCTAGTGACATGGAACGCATGTAAACGCTGTTATATTGGCCCCTAGGTGATGGCCAAGGGCTGTCATCCCAGCGCTAGGGAGGCTAAGTCATGAAGATAACAAGTTTGAGGGCAGTCTGGGCCATGGAGTGAATTCCAGGCCAACCTAAGCTACATAATAAGACCTTATCACAAACATATAAGGACTCGGGGAGATGGAGCTCAGTGCTAGAGCACTTGCCTGTCGTGTATAGAACTCTAGGTTCATCCTCAGAACTAAAAATAAATTAAAAAGAATAAAGTAGGAATAAAAGAAGAGCTGGGCGTGGTGGTGCACCTTTAAACCCAGTACTCGCTATTGGGAGGCAGAGGCAGGCAGATCTCTGTGCGTTCAAGGCCAGCCTGGTCTACATAGTGAGTTCCAGGTCAGCTGGGGCTACAGAGAGACCCTGTCTCAAAAAAGACCAAAAATAAAATAAAATTTAAAAAAAAAAAAGAGGAAGAAAGAAATCCTCTATCTTTGGAGGTGAAGGCAATCAGAAGTACAAGACCATCCATCCTCAGCTACCCAAGAAGTTAGAAGCCAGCCTGGGATAAACAAGACCCTGTCTCAAACAGCCATGGAAACATGGCTCAGCAGTTAGGAGCACATATTGCACTTCCTGAGGACCAGGTTCAGTGACTCCAGCCCTGACTCCAGCTCCAGGGGATTCAATGCCTCTGGCCTCTGGCCTCTGAGGGCACCTTCACTCGTATGCACATACATGTACACATACGCACAGGCACACACATACACATAATTAAAAAATAATAAAAATAGAGGGTTGGAGAGATGGCTCAGCGGTTAAGAGCACTGTTCTTCAGAGGACCCTGGTTCAATTTCTGACACCCACGTGGTGTCTTACAACTGTCCTTAATGCCAGTTCCAGGGGATCTGACACCCTCTTATGGTTTCTGCGGGCATTGCACATAAGGGTGCACTTACATACATGCAGGCAAAACATAAAATAAAAATAAATAAATGAAAAACTTTTCTTTAAATTTTATTTCTTTTCTTCCCTTTTCTTTTTTTTAGACAGTGTCTCACCATGTAGCCCTGGCTGACCTCACTGTGTAGACTAGGATGTCCTCCTACTCAGAGAGATCCACCAACCTCTGCTGGGATTAAAGGTGTGCACCACCACACCCAGCTAAACTATATCTTTTTAAAAGATAAAAAGCAAACAAAGTGGGGGCTGTAGAGACGGCTCAGTGATTAAGAGAACTAGCTGCTCTTGCAGAGGACCTAGGTTCAAGTCCCAGCACCCATATGATGGCTAACAACCATCTGTAACTCCAGTTCCAGGGGATCTGACACCCTTTTCTGACCTCCATGGGCATTGTATGACATGGATGTGCTTACACACATGCAAGTAATACACTCATATACATAAAAAATAAATATTTAAAAAACAAAGTTCTACCCTATTTAAGGAATGATGACACAAAGAAGCTTGTGTTCAGGACATTCATTTTTTCCTGAATCTGTTCAGCCCGTGGGTTGGGTTACACTGGATGCAGTTTGCTGTCTTTCCTGTTTTCAGCACACAGAGACAGAGAGCATTTTATTGACTTGTCAGGTTCACCCAGCTGGTGAGCTGCCAGGCTAGGATCCATATCCTTCCTGTTCCTGTCTGCTCCTCTTCCCCTGCCCCCAACACACCTTCTGAGCATACCTAGGGTCCCAGGGTTTACAGCTCTGAGCTTTGTCCTTCCCTGTTACTATTTCATGGTGGGCTTCAACTGGGAGTTCTGTTTTCTCTGTATTTGCTTTCAATTGAGGTGCCTTTGGATGTCGCCCTCCGCTGTGCTGGAGAGACTACAGTGTGTGTTGTTTTGTTCCTGCACAGGCAGCCCTGGGATGGGGACAGATGCCCAGAGGCTGGAGCTGCCACCAAATGACAGGTAAGGAATAAATAATAAGGAAAAGAGTAAATAATAGGGCCAGGGAGATGGCTCATTAGGGAAACGTGCTTGCCACCATTCTTGATGACCTGAGTTTAATCCCTGGAACACTCATGGTAGAAGGAAAGAACCGACTCCTTCAAGTTGTCCTCTGACCTTCACATGGGCCTTGAGTCACACACCCACATCCACACACGACAAATAAATTAATAATAAAACAAATGCATGTAATAAAAAAATAAATAAAGCTGGAGAGATGGCTCAGTGGTTAAGAGTACTGGCTGCTCTTGCATAGGACCTGGATTTGGTTCTCAGCACCCACGTAGTCACTAACAACCTGATCTGTAACTCCAGTTCCAGGGGATCTGACACCCTCTTCTGACCTCAATGGGCATTGTACACACAGGTGTACTTACATGCAGGCAAAACACTCATACACATAAAATAAAAATAAAAATTTTTAAAAATGGTAGCACTTGGGAGGCAGAGGCAAGTGGATCCCTGTGAGTTTAAGGCTGGTGGATTCTATATAGCAGGTTCCAGGCCAACCAGGGCTACAGGGAGTCCCTGTCTCAATCCTCCCCCTAAATAATAAGAAGATACAATAGAAAGGTTGGTATGCTCTTCTTCCTGATTTTGAATAGTCTTAGTCAAAAGAATTGCAAGAGTGTATGCTACTGATAGCTTTAATTATGTGACAAAGCATTCCAAACTTAATTTGTACCTGGGTATGGTGGCTCATACCTGTAATTCCAGAAAGCTGAGGCAGGAAGATCATGAGTGGAAGGCCAACTTTGTTTTCTTTCTTTTCATTTCTTTGCTTTGGGGTGGGGGTGGCGGCAGAGTCTCCTGAAAACCAAGCTAGATTCAAACTCTTTATGTAGCTGAGGATGACCTTGAACTTCTGACCTTCCATCCTCCACCTCCCCAGTGCCGGAGTTAGAAGCTGTTGATCATTACACCTAATTTATGCAGTGTTGGAATGGAACCCAGGGCTTCCTGCATTGTAGGCAAGCACTCTGCCAACTAAACTAGACCCCTAGCCCCTCAACCTTGGCTACATAGTATTTGAGACCAGCCTGAGCTACATAGGGAGACCATATCTCAAAAAGGGGTGGGGCTAGAGAGGAGCTCAACAGTTAAAGAGCACTGACTACTTTTGAAAAAGTCCAGGGTTCAGTTCCCAGCACCCACATGGCAGCTAACAACTTCCTCTAACTCCAGTTCCAGGGGATCTGCATGACACTGGTTGTACTTAACATACGTGTAGGCAACACACTCATACACTTGAAATAAAACTAAATTTTAATAAATGGGAGAGAGAGCAGTCAGGCATGGTGGAACATGCCTTTAATCCCAGCACTTGGGAGGCAGAGGCAGGTGGATCTCTGTGAGTTCAAGGCCAGCCTGGTCTACATAGTGAGTTCCAGATCATCTGGGACCACAGGGAGACCCTGTCTCAAAAAGACCAAAAAAAAAAAAAAAGGGAGAGAGAGGGGACAGAGGGGGCTTTAGGG